ATATTTTGATGTTATAACATTTTATTAATTTATATATTTAGACCAATAAATAAAGAACGACGAAGCGCTGCGTACATTTCAAGATGTGACTTTGTACTGACCCCTAAATATTATGCTAGAACGTTGTATAATAGAGATCAGTGGATGCCGTGTGATATCGCTCTTCCTCTTTCACTTTCGGACGCACATCTACCATACTTAAAACCATGTATTTGCAATTTTTTTGTTGAATATATACAGATGAGTGCGTATTTGTACCGTAAGTTGAGCGTGATTTTGGCTTGGTTTGTATTGAAATGTACGCAGCGTTCCGCGTTTTAAAAGCTTTAATTTAACTGGTAATGTTTATTTGTAAGAGTCAAATTTTGCAACTGAATTTTAAAGCAGTTAGTCCCAACCGATTGAGCTGAAATTTTGCATACCTCTATGTAAAGTTTGGGTGACAATGCATGCTAAGTGACGTCACTCTAAATCCAATACAGTAGACTACCCACAAAGGCTGAACTGAATTTTTATGTACTCCCATGATATGGAATAACATCACTCTAAATCACTGACGGGAGACTGTCTTCCCAAAGTTTGGATTTATTTTAATTATCAACCAGTTTATGCGAAGTTAATCCGCCGGTTTATATACAGCAAACAGCAGTTAGTAACGCTTCGGTCCAATGATTTTTATAAAAATACTCATAGACTTTTTTTAATACTCATTATATTATAAGGAAATACGCAATTACGCAAATAAACAATAATTACCAAACTAATCTATACATATAAATAAAATTGAAGTTTCTGCCTAAAATATCAAAATATCTGACTTCTTTTAGACTCAGGGTGTTATTTGCAAGCTAATTAATTTTTAAAATTTTTATCTATCCGTCTGTTTTTTCCGGGATAATCTTCGTAATGGCTGAACCACTTGCGACTAATCTTCGTGATCTAAGCTATATTTTATCCGAAAAATTGATGATTTTTCCAAAAAACAAAGGGTAAATTCATACAATATAATTTTATGGTCTTTGATAATTTTTAATATTAAAACTACCCCTAAATACGCCACATTAATAGACACTACCCGAGCAACGTGGTAGCTCAGATGGTTAACGCTCGCAGTAAATATAACAGAACGCGAATAACCAGGGTTCGATCCCCGCCGGCACCAATGAAATTGTTAATTGCAATTTTAAGTGCTGATTTACAACGTGCTCGGCGGTGAAGGAAAACATCGTGAGGAAACCTGCATTTCTGAGGTATTACGAAGACACGTGAAGTTCTCCAACACACATTAGGGCAGCGCGGCGGACACTTCCTTGCCCTAAAACCCTCTCAGAAATGAGGGGAGGCCTGTGCCCAGCAGTGAGACGTATATAGGCTGTAACTTTACTTTTTACTTTTACTTTTACCCGAGCAAAGCCATGGAGGATTACTAGTAATGTATGTAATATATCAATTTACGAGGTGTTATCAATATTTTTATGCTCGGTAATATTAGCAATGATATTAGTCATAAATTGAAAGAAGTTACAATTTACGATCAGCCTTTATATTCTCAATATACAATATGTAACATAATTAAAACACACCTTCAGACACCCCAATTAGTATATTATGTTATAATCATAATACATACACTGAATTTTTACATTTTTATGCACTGATTATTTATCAAATTAGTTATACTAATTCCGGAAGAATATTGTGGTCACAGTACAAATCCACGAACGCAAAGACTTTAACGTGCTTGAAATAAAGTTCATTTTTCTTTATTTTTATTGAATGACAGAATTAATAATAATACAAATAAAACTGCACTCTTAAAAGTCTTATTGCGTTAAGTTACGGTCCATTTCAGTTTGTTTTGACTGTACAGATTTAGTGTGACTGTAATTTACGTAGTTTTAATTACTTTTGGGATGAAAAAATACCTATATTAAAAATGATAGAAATCAATTCAGTAAACGATTCTGAACAAACTACTTTCTCAAAGTGCGTTAATTATGTTACATGTTGTATAAGGGAAATGGTCACAGCGAGACTGTAAAAACTACCGTGGTATCAGCCTGCTTAGAATTGTGGGTAAACTAAATGCTTAGGTATTACTTGCAGAGATGAAAGAAACTGATGGAAAATTGTACTAACATAGTTGGGATGGTAGATAGGATAAGGATATAGAATGGAAGAAAACAATCACATTTTTACTTCACTACTCCAGGTAAACGATACCAAAAACTACCTTCCCCACAAAAAAAGTATACCGTCGTTTAAGAAATACATATTATAGATTTTATATAAAATTTAGATGCCAAAAATGTTTAATATTTTATACCACAATTGTGACATAGTACTTTATATTTAGTTTAAGTAAAAGTTAGTTTCAATGTCATTTAAATAATAAGCTTAATTAAAATGATGTATAAGAGCAAACTGTGCAGTGCCAAGACAAACAAAAGATGTTTAATAGCACGAAGAAATTGTTTTTATAATTAAAACTGTTACTTTGTTTAATTTAAAAAAAACGTCGAGTGAATGTAGGAAAAAGAGTAAATGGGGCTCTACATTCTATTATGGAAAGTCATAATGTGTCAAAAAATATATGTATGCCAATTCACAATACTGTGTTAGTCCCTACTTTAACATATGGTAATAAAAGTTTGATACGGCAGAAGAAGCACGAGAGTAGAAGTGCGGTCATTAAGGAATATTTTAGGGCTGAATTTGTCCGGGTGAGAAATTGTGTAATTAGAAAAGAACGTAGTTTGTAAGATGATGCGACTGATCAGGATTACGAAAGGAATGTTTCTGTGGTTTAGTCATGTAGAAAGTATAAACAAGGAAAGAGTAACAAAACAAAACTATGTTGCTAATTTGAACGTCAAAGTCGGGAAGGGACGCCATAGACAAAATTCTATCGAACAAATGGGTGATATATTGAGGATGGGCTAAATTAAGAGTATACACAACCGACGAGCTCGTCGGTGAATACATACGTAAGTATATGGATGAAAAGGAGGCGAGAGAGGTGTCTTAGGGTCTTACCAAATGAAATTCCGTAGTCTCTGCCTACACCTCTGGGTGACAGGCGTGGGTGTTTTTTATATATGTATATATGTTATGTAATGAAGTCTACACCTCTGGGTGATAGGCGTGGGTGTTTTTATATATGTATATATGTTTAAATGAAGTCTACACCTCTGGGTGACAGGCGTGAGTGTTTTTTGTATATGTATATATGTTATGTAATGAATGAGATTTCAACGCTAATGAAACATTCTATATCCTATATTCAGCAGTTGACTTCGATAGGCTGTAATCAAAAAATAAATGAACCTTTTAAGAAATTGTAGAATAAATTATTTCAAGCAAGGGTGAAATACGTTAATTATTGAATCGTTTCATTTGTACATTAGTCTAAGCAATAACCGGTTACCCGGCTTCACATAAATATTAAACTCGAAGTAAGTTTGTTCAGTAACTATTAACGCCTTAAGCTCGAAACAACCATTCTGTAAGGACTTATGTAAATTTTTATAAATTTGAATTTGTTTCAACAAAGGTTCTAAAATCATGTGGTACTTAATTATTTTTGCTATCGTAAAAGAGTGTTATGCTGTTATAGCCCAACTAAATGGTGAGTACTTAGTTTTATATTCTTTATCAGCCTACTGCTATAGACTGTGATAGACCTCTTTACCAAAGGGTATTACCATAATTTCTATGCTGGTATTTTTTTTAAATATAATAGGGGTGACAAACAAGCACACAGTGTACATGATGGTAAATGGATGCTATGGCAGGCTTCTGACGTTGCAGGAGTAGTTCGTGAATTTCCATTTTTTATATCCTTAAAATTCCAACTTTTCCTTTTTCCTGTTTCTGTTTTACATATTTTATAGGTTTCTTTTCTATATTATAGTTGTAGCAAGAATGGGTCGGCTCGACCGGGGCAGCACAACGTTCTCACAGAATACCAGCGTAAAAGAGCAGCGTAATGCTGCTGTGTTTCGTATGGTGAGTGTAGAGAACCGGAGACCCTTTTCACTAGAATTGAGGCATCCCATCTTAGTCCTCGAAGGTGACGACGTATTTTTATTTTGATTGTTAATTGAGGATAAATGTGGATTTCTATGGGCTACGGCATCCACTTACCATCAGGTGGACTGTGTGCTCGTTTGTCACCCAATGCTATGAAAAAATGGTTTTGAATCAGAAACTGCTATATTCAATTATTTACGTACGTAGGTAGTATTATATAGGTAGTATTAAGTAATTATATGTATATACATTTATAAATTGTATATATAACCACATAATATATTTGTGGTAAGAGAAGCATTTAAATGTTAATCCGTAATAAAATCAAAGATTCTATTTTCAATAAAAAAGACACTTGCGCAATTCTTGTTTCGCAAATAATCTTGATAATGCTCAGTAATATAATCATAAATAAGCAGCTTACAATAATATGAGTTTGCCTAATAAACAGTCAATCCGCAAAATAACTACTTGATCAGCAAGATTCACGATTGGTTAGAAAAAAAATATGTCTATTAGCATTGTATTTCACTATTGTAATTAAAATTATGTATTAATAAATATGTATTTATTTAAATTATAACAATTCAAATTACATTGTTTAATTAACAACTATCATAGCAGAGACTAAAGCAACCTGACTTTATAGATCAGATTGTTCGAATCTGTTCTAAAACCGAATCAGCACGCCTTACTCCTGGTAGTCTTGTCTGCCCTACCCCTAGAGTGTTTTTATAAGACCGTAGGCACCGAGGCAAATTGCTTAGTAAATCGCAGGCATCCATGTTGAATCGTTTCATTTGTACATTAGTCTAAGCAATAACCGGTTACCCGGCTTCACATAAATATTAAACTCGAAGTAGGTTTGTTCAGTAACTATTAACGCCTTAAGCTCGAAACAACCATTCTGTAAGTACTTATGTAATTTTTTATAAATTTGAATTTGTTTCAACAAAGGTTCTAAAATCATGTGGTACTTAATTATTTTTGCTATCGTAAAAGAGTGTTATGCTGTTATAGCCCAACTAAATGGTGAGTACTTAGTTTTATATTCTTTATCAGCCTACTGCTATAGACTGTGATAGACCTCTTTACCAAAGGGTATTACCATAATTTCTATGCTGGTATTTTTTTTAAATATAATAGGGGTGACAAACAAGCACACTGTGTACATGATGGTAAATGGATGCTATGGCAGGCTTCTGACGTTGCAGGAGTAGTTCGTGAATTTCCATTTTTTATATCCTTAAAATTCCAACTTTTCCTTTTTCCTGTTTCTGTTTTACATATTTTATAGGTTTCTTTTCTATATTATAGTTGTACCAAGAATGGGTCGGCTCGACCGGGGGCAGCACAACGCTCTCACAGAATACCAGCATAAAAGAGCAACGTAATGCTGCTGTGTTTCGTATGGTGAGTGTAGAGAACCGGAGGCCCTTTTCACTAGAATTGAGGCATCGTATGTCACTAGAATTGTGACAACGTATTTTATTTTGATTCTTAATTGAGGATAAATGTGAATGTCTATGGGCTACGGCATCCACTTACCATCAGGTGGACTGTGTGCTCGTTTGTCACCCAATGCTATGAAAAAATGGTTTTGAATCAGAAACTGCTATATTCAATTATTTACGTACGTAGGTAGTATTATATAGGTAGTATTAAGTAATTATATGTATATACATTTATAAATTGTATATATAACCACATAATATATTTGTGTAAGAGAAGCAATTAAATGTTAATCTGTAATAAAATCAAAGATTCTGTTTGCAAAAAAAAAGACACGCGCAATTCTTGTTTCGCAAATAATCTTGATAATGCTCAGTAATATAATCATATATAGGCAGCTTACAATAATATGAGTTTGGCTAATAAACAATCAATCCGCAAAATAACTACTTGATCACCAAGATTCACGATTGGCTAGCAAAAAAAATATGTCTATTAGCATTGTATTTTATTATTGTAATTAAAATTATGTATTTATAAATATGTATTTATTTAAATTATAACAATTCAAATTACATTGTTTAATTAACAACTATCATAGCAGAGACTAAAGCAACCTGACTTTATAGATCAGATTGTTCGAATCTGTTCTAAAACCGAATCAGCGCACCTTACTCCTGGTAGTCTTGTCTGCCCTACCCCTAGAGTGTTTTTATAAGACCGTATGCACCGAGGCAAATTGCTTAGTAAGTCGCAGGCACCCATTCTCCCCTCCGCAGCTTAGGCTTATTGGTCCCCTCCAGTGACCAGCCTTAGCCGCTACGGCTTACACAGGTACTTGCAATTTGCTACGGCGGGCGGGGGTTGCACTTCCCACAGCGCCGAAGCCGTTAGGAAGGGAAGAGTAGGGGCATCTTCTGTATCCCCCCCTCCATATTATTATCATAATTTTATAAACGCCAGTCGCTCATTGCACCTTATATAATTAATATGCTGTACTAAAACATTTACGGCAGTCCAGAATATCCAAAATTGCAGATTAATTTAATAATGTTTGCTAGTCATGGTTTGCTGACCAATTTTCTATTTCTGCTGCTAGATTACATTTTTCTGCTGACAAAAACATGGATACTATGCTAACCCCTTAAAAAACACCCTTTGTGTAGTTATGTTTATAATTTTTACCTTAGTATCTAATAGCAGTTTTGTAATATTACGCAGACATAGATATTTTTAACTTAGCTGTTTGCACTTTGCACCCATAATATATTCCCTGCTTGCGGTAAACTGGTAGACAATGCCCTGTTGCATTAAGCCCGCCATTTTGTACTTGGTATACAAATAAAGCTTAAATAAATAAGTAACATCTACATTTATACTCGATTACTAATCAAAATCAGGGGTGACACCCTGAGGACTAAGATGGAGTACTAGATAAATAACCCCATTAGCGCAGTTCCCTGTTATCGGTCTGGGTTATTTTTGGGTCGATCTCCATAAACAAAGTCTTCTCCGTCTTTTTCTAAAGCACCTTCTGAGTGATTATCGGTGTCGTTGTGTTACAATAATATTATTACAGCTACCGTCACAGATTATCAAGTCTATTGCTGAACATAGGCCTCCCCATAGATTGCCTCTTAAGTGGAATAATTGACTTAATTGCAACGTTTAAATAATTATTTAATAATGTGTGTTCACGTAAACATAAAAAATCATGGTTGCCATGCTCAACAAGCGGGTTTGCAAACGAATTTTTTTAGGTGTTAATAAGAACACGCTACTGCCCATCTACTAGTTGGTTTTTCTCTGACGACTCTTACGACAGCCACAGAACGTTATGGTCTGTTGGATATTCTATCACCGATAAAAAATATTATTATTTATATTAATTAGTTATGAATACACAACAGGGTGTAAGAGGAATGGACCAACATATTGAAATACCAATTCCATCTAAATGCAGTGGGCTAAACTATATATATATATATATATATATATATATATATATATATATATATATATATATATATATACATACAACATGTCCCAAAATTCAACGATAAGCCAACACCGGAGGATAGACCTGCCCCGGACTAAACGGGGAAAAAAATCCCAATTATATTTTAAGTTATATAAAAAATGAAATTCTTCAGAAATTGAGACCGTTTATGATATTTTTCACTACCATGACCACAATTTTTTTAATATTTGTTTCTTTTTTTTATAGGCAACCTGAATAGCACTGCTATCTACCACAATTCTTAAAAAATCCAGAATAACTCTTGTTTTATCACGAAAATTAATGAAACTTATTTTATTCCGTCTGTGTGTATCTTATATTTAGGAATATATTATTACATATATATATATATATATATATATATATATATATATATATATATATATATATATATAGTTTAGCCCAATGATTGACTAGGGAAGAATATCCCTGCAGCATGTGTGTGAAAGTATAAATAAAGTCAGGAAATTAGTATCGCACTGATTCAGAACTGACAGTATTGAAGAATACCTAGTAACTTTAAATAGTTCATAAATTTTCTGAAGCAAACTCCTATAGAAAATGTATTAACATACTGCCCATAAAATGGCAACAATGTATTAATAGTTCTTGCATATATTTTCATGAATTAAAGTTATTGTTCCGAAAATTTTCTATTCTTATTCAATTTTCCTGTATATAACAGCAGTTTTATTGATAAAGGCCCGATACGTGAGGGAAAGCATATAATTTTTAGAAGTAATTACAGAAAAATATGGGTAAATAATATAGTATTATCATGTAGTTGCGCTATACCAATATATAAAAGTAAATGGAATTATACTTAGATATACATTAAAAATAAAAACCCAAACAAATGGAATGTTATATTATAATTATAAAATACTTTTATCGTCACATCGGCACCGGCACCAGCCTGTGTGAATATTACATTACGGTAAAAAAAATTACTTCGATTTAATTTTTCCACTTGACGCAGAATTAAATTCAGTGATGACCGTGAATAGTTTTAAACTCCTTTTTATGTATTTTAAATATTGCGTTATATTTAAAAGTGTTATCTAATAGAATATTACAATAAGTTTGAGTCAAACAATAAATTCCAAAAAAATAACCATAGATGGAGGAAAAAATCGCAATTATATTTTAAGTTATATAAAAAATGAAATTCTTCAGAAATTGAGACCATTTATGATATTTTTCACTACCATGACCACAATTTTTTTAATATTTGTTTCTTTTTTTTTTTATAGGTAACCTGAATAGCACTGCTATGTACCACAATTATTAAAAAATTAAGAATAACTTGTTTTATCACGAAAATTAATGAAACTTATTTTATTCCCTAAATTTTTGAAGACTTTAACTTTTAACCAAATTTGACTTATCGTGGTGTAAAAAAAAGTATGAACACTAGTATGGCAAGTTTTTTTAAAAATTGACTACACCTAACCAACATTCCAAAATGGTATAATACTCTAGGAAAACAAGTTATAAAAAATATGGGCCTATAGGGTCAAATGACGGTCGGGTGTAATAAAAGTATTAGTTCTTGAAAAAATGTTTAATATTTCAAAACAAATGGTACAAACAGTTTCACGTGTAATTTATTAAGTTATTAACATTATAGCGAATGTTCGAACTGTTTACCACCAGCATTAATACATGCACGACATCGCCTTAAAAATGATCGTTTTATTTGTCTTGCATATCTTCTGCTATTAATGTAATCAGCAGCCTGAGTGATATTTCGACGAAGTTCGTCCAATGTCGCAATGGGTTTTGAGTTGACCCAGTTTTTAAGACAACCCCAATAGAAGAAGTCCAGGGGGTTCAAATCGGGTGAACGGGGTGACCATAAGATAGGACCAAGTCGCCCGATCCTACGCCATGAATACTCTTTATTTAAATATTCTCGCACAGGACGGGCATAATGTGCTGGGCAACCATCATTTTGCTAAAATATATATATATATATATATATATATATATATATATATATATATATACATATATATATATATATATATATATATATATATATATATATATATATATATGTAAATGGAATTATACTTAGATATACATTAAAAATAAAAACCCAAACAAATGGAATGTTATATTATAATTATAAAATACTATTATCGTCACATCGGCACCGGAACCAGCCTGTGTGAATATTACATTACGGTAAAAAAAATTACTTCGATTTAATTTTTCCACTTGACGCAGAATTAAATTCAGTGATGACCGTGAATAGTTTTAAACTCCTTTTTATGTATTTTAAATATTGCGTTATATTTAAAAGTGTTATCTAATAGAATATTACAATAAGTTTGAGTCAAACAATAAATTCCAAAAAAATAATCATAGATGACTATTTGTGAGATAATTTATGACGTAAATACAATGACTACGCGGATAAAAAATAAATGACTTTTGGATATTATAAGCGAATACATATTATATAACATATTATAAACTTTATTAATAAATATTTTTTTACTATGATACCATTTTGTAAACAGAGAGTAGATTTGTAGATTATAAGCAGTACTTATTGACAGTCACTTCTTTCATTTACCACTGATTCGCAAAAAAAAAACTTTGTCCTGAAAAGAATCAGCAAGAAAACCAGCGGGACTATTTTTTTTTTTTCAAATAATAGTACACAAGAAAAATTAGAAATCGCTCGGTATCGATCACCCTTCCCAGGGGTTATTATCATCCATAAATTCCTTAATATTATAACAACCCTTTTTGTACAAACTTAATTTAATAAAATTTTGAACTTTGCTTTATGACAAGTTTTGTAAATTTTTTGGGATTTTGTTGTAAAAGCGTATACATCGCCCCAAAAAAGAATTACTGACTCGGTGGAGTCGAGTAAACTAACGTAACTTAATTAGAGAGTAATACGAAAATGAGATGGGCTTATAATCAATACCGATTATATTTACACAGTTGAACAAAACCAAACATCAAAGCGGAGTCAACCAACATTCCCACCAATGCTACTTATTTATTTTTTATTGAATAACGATGACAAATGACCACACAAACCAAAAACAAAGAACTTCACGGCAGTGAACAACTATAGCTTGCGGCAAGTATGGATTTTTGCTAGTTTGGCTTAGGGTGTGAACTCGTCCTTATAAATTAATTATTAATATTTGTATGTAATGAATTACAATATCATAAATTTCATTAACATCATAGCCCTACACGAGTTCACTGCTAAACATAGGCCTCCCCAAGGAACGCCACAAAACACAGTACTGATACACCTTCATCCATCAAATTCCTCCATGTACCCTTCTCTAACTGATACGAGACCGCTACTCGAGGATCCTTCTTCCACATCGGTTGTCAACTTTTCGAGCTATAATCTAGTTACAATATAGTAGCAGAAAGATAATTAATAAATGTATGAAATGTAAGCAACGTCTAAAGTTATAATAAATGTGGATGCTCTTGACTCCTCCCATAGTCCAGAGCGTGGCCAATCTACTTGTCCTCACGTTCAAAAAACCTCCAGTATATTCATATACCTACATATGGTAGAGTCAAAAGTTCAGGTTGGATTATACTATAACGATTTCTTATGTCTACGCGAATACTACACGGACGTTCACATCAGCTATGTGTTCATTAACGCGGGTTTTTATTGTTTTTTAAAACGATCAATAAGAACCCGCGTTAAAGAACACATAGTTCAAGTGAAGAATCGACGCTCCGCAAAGTCTGCAGTCTGTGAACACGTACAAGATCGCCGCCGTCACTTTAGCAGATTTGATAGATCACAAATCGTCGCTAAAGAACATCGATTACTTTCAAGGATGATTCGCGAGGATATTGAAATCAAAAAACATCCTAATTTCAATAGAGAAGGTGGCTAGGTACTACATCTGCTTGAGATCCTATAATTAATAAAATCTCAACCCAAACACACAACTGCGAGACTTCAAGACACTATAAGTTCATATTGCGTAGATCGTCACAAAAATTTATAATTATAATCTGGAGGTAGCCAATGTTAACTATGACATTGGGACGTCGAACGCCTCAGTTACCCCGTGACCATGGGTGCTGCAAAGTGAAACGTCGGGAACATAAAATAAGTTAATATACGCGATATAATCCGTAAAAACTAGTTTTATTTAAATGGATTATATTTATTCTACTACATACTTTATATTACCTCCCACAACCTTCAAAAATGTGGTGCTAGTGACGGTAAAAAAATAAATTCAATTGGATTATTTGATTTGTTACCAATAACAGATCGAGAATTATTATCATTAAAATTTGGTGGCTTCTAAAAAGTTCTACATTGATCTGATAATTTTTATAAAAATTTTCCTCATTTATAAGTGAGTCGTATCAAGATCGAAATATAACTATCGGTAATAGACTAGTTAGAAAATTTTAAGTTCTCACATGCTCACTCACAGGTATACATAAACGGTATTTTATAAGTATGGGGCCGAAGAATATTAGTTAATTTTTGTTATCCGTCAAGTGTATTATCCACAAGAGGCAGAAGTGTACACGCTTGATTGTAGATGTCGTCTCTCTATCTTAGGACAACAGAAAAAGGTCTTTAAAATCCCGCTTAATAGAACATATACATAGCTGACGTGAAACACCGACGCTCCGGGAATTCTGCAGACTGTGAATATGTTGAAGATCGTCCCCGGCATTATATGAGATTTGATATACCCACAAATCCTCGCACAAAAACATTGGTTACCAAGGTTGATTCGCAAGGATATTGAAATAAAAAACATCTTTATTTCAATGAAAAAGTTAGGTGTGTGCTATCTACTTGGGATTCCTATATTTAATAAAATTAAATCCAAACATAACCACACCTCTATTATAATCTTCTATCGTTTTGCGTATATCGAACCAAAAATTTATATTCAAAAACTAGAGACAGCTCAGTTTAGGACGTCATTAACATCCCCCCCCCCCCGTGGCTAGGGTTGCTTTAAATCACCCGAATTAAGGCAACCATGGCCATAATCCATAATAATGAAATTAATTGAATAATAATAAATAAAATGAACTTAATTTGAGGCGTTATCTGACACGACGGGAGATGAGCTGCTGCAGATAAAGGAACAACAAATAAAACTGCACATAATAAGGATGCGCACTTACCTGGGGGAAGCGACGAGCGTCTCTCTCTTGACGGCCATGCGAGCATGATGAAAATTGCGACGACGATGGCGGTGCGCGTATTCTTATAGCTTCCGCCATCTCCCCTTTCTACTTAGCGGAGCGTGCCTCTCAATAGAGGACCAAAAATGCGTCCACCAGTATCTAGCTCCCCCTACTAGGCAGGCCCGTGGGGGGAAAAAACGGAAGAGAAGGGGATTATGTCTGCCAAACTAACTAACAAATACGTCAACAAATACGAAATGCAAGGATGTGCGTTAGCGCAACCAGGGACAATTATTTATTTTATCTTACCATTTGCTTAAAAATATGTTTTAATCTTATTTATATTAAAGGACATTAAAACTATTTTATTTAGTTAATCGGTTTATGTCTGTTTTTCGGATACTGAATATGGACGAATGCCGCCTTTGTTTGAACTAGATAACTACGACACATGCTTATGAAAATTGAACAGCTTCTATTGCTTAGTAAAATTGGATTTATTCGCAGATCCGCCAAATGATCTCATCGCCGTCATTAAAGTAAGTACAATATATAAGTGGTAGAGCCATGCTACAGTTATATAGTAGTATAGTTGTACAACGTATGGGTCGGTTCGAAAGGGGAAGGACCACGCTCTCACAGAATACCAGCGTGAAATAGTAGCTTAATGCTGCTGTGTTTCGTATGGTGAGTGTAGATAACCGGAGACCATTTATATTGGAAACGAGGCATTTCATATTAGTCCTCACGGGTGACAACGCGTCTGCGTTTTGATTTGTAATCGAGGATAGATGTATATGTCTATGAGCTGTAACAACCACTTACCGTCAGGTGGACTGTGTGCTAGTTTGTCACCCTATCCCATTAAAAAAAAATACGGAATTGCCAATCACTAAATATTTCACAGCAATGTCTGAGCGGTACTTTGAAAGCGCCAGAACTCCCAATAAGACACATAGTAGTAAACGCAGCTACCTACGGTCCGATTTCAAACCTGATCTGCATTGCAATGAATGTTCGTATTGGCTACATATTATTGATATGTAGAAAAAGCAGCGTAGGCTCACAGCCTCTTAGAATACCAGCATTAATAGGCTTGAAGTGGGAGCGTGCATCGTCCACGGTACGGTACTAAATCTGACATTCCGAGACAAGCTGGGTTATCATCATCATCATCATCAGTTATCGTCATCGTTATCTTTATCAATCATCATGATTACAATCATCATTATTCGTCATCCTTTATATAGCTCCCGATATCAATAGCGAGCCTTAAGTCCGATGAAGTTGTAAAAATCAAGTGGTTAACAGCACTAACATAACTGAAAATAGAGCAGAGTGTTAAAAGTACAATAAGAAAGAACCACATATAAGACACGCTACGACAGCAACAAGAAATCATTAAAAAAACACCCGATTCGAGGGCAATATTGTTTATAATTAAATAAATATTTATAGTTTAGAATTCAACATAAAACACCCAAACTAACGGTATGACTAGTTTAGAATAAGTCTTCAAAGGCCCAAATCTAAATATAGCACATTTGATTTTTAATATGTGCATTGTAATTAACACACAATCCAATTTATATTTCTTTTTTTCTAAAAAGACTGAAGTTGATCACTAGACAAATGAATGATATGGTCTAATACTCTACTCTACTAATGATAGAAAAATCATTTATTTAATACAAGTTTTAGGAATAAGCCCTATTAACTGAGGAGGCCTATGTTCAGCAGTGGACTTTAATAGTCCGTAACAGATGACTGATGCACGTAGCCTGTTTGATATAAAATACGTGCACTTACTTTCAATTACTTCAAAAATTCGATACATGCAAAATATCTTCTGTAAATTCAATAAATTATTTTAGCTTCGTAGAAGCATTATATATATATATATATATATATATATATATATATATATATATATATTTTCCATTCGCATCGTCTAACACACCGACCCACAAGAATTAATTCTAGCCCAAATAAATACTTGCTCTGACAAAGGATCGAAAATGCGGCCTTTAACACCAAATGCTTAGCACATACGGTGCTGAGCTTAAGTGAAAAATATTAAACCACATTGATATCTTCATAAAGGCTTCTAAAAAGTTCATTTATCATTCCTTTGTAACAAAAATTTAATAACATATCAACAAATAAAAAAGGAATGATGCTTTAAGTTTTGTATGACGTTTATAAGACCTTCCATGTTAATTTTCACTCACTTTAATTAAAATTATTGATATTGTTAATGAAAAATTCATTCATCAAAGAGTCTCCAGAAGTTACGAAAATTTACACAGGCATCAAATATTAAATCTAAAAAGGCATCCACGAGGATTGTACCACACTTATCTCATATCTCATGTGCAATCAATGACGTGTGTATGGTTTTAAGGTGAATGTAACTACTAGTGATAATTCCCAACCCCATATGCCTACGGTGCTCCTACGGTGACTACGGTGCTTCGGTTAACTGACGAATAAGACTAATAACAGATTAGTCCTAGAATCTCATCAACTCGACACAGAAGTTAACTATAGAACAAGCCTCTTTAAAAGAAAAGGTTGCACCGCAATCTACTTCAAATGCCGTAGTATTTATTTGCTTGCACTTAACCCAACAGAAAGTTCAAGGGTAGTTAGTAAATGAATGTAATTGAATTAATTACTAGGCTTAAGGATTTTTTTTAATTTATTGTCCTGAATCATTATCAAGAAAATGCTACTACTCATCTACTATTATTGTATTCCTCTATTGCCTCTTGCGACAACTACGGGATGTTATGGAGTATTGGATTCTCTTACGCCACCACTACATGACAAAGTATGATTACAAGCTTTGAAACCGTCCTTAAAGCTGCCGCACCTATAGCTTGTTATTTGAAGTTAATTGCAGGTTGCCGTGACCTACAATGGCCACTTAGCATCAGATAGTCAGTTACCTGGTTTATCACTTAATGTGTAAAAACATAAAACTATCAATGTAGAGCGATGGGTTTCTGCCCGGCTAGCATTGTGAGTATGAGAAAAATATTTCAAATAGTTCATACTAGTTGACGCGTATTTGTAAAGGTATATTTCTAGCAATAGATTAAATAGATTATAATAGCGTATTAAATAATGTCTGCAGGAATACTCGGAATACACAGAAAAACATTACAATCACTCTTATATAGAAAGAGGAGTGTGTATAGCCACAAAATGTAAGAAATACATAAATAACACAAATTCTAACATTTTGAACCTAAATGCAAACCTTGAGGCATGCCTTAACCAAACTATTTGGAATAACTACGGCCTACAAGCAAAACTCACGCATGTATATTATTGCAACAAACAAGACGAAGAAGTAAAATACGACTGGAGTGACTGGTTGTTTGGTGGAATTTTGCTACTTTTAGTATCTATCAATATTATAGGAAGCTTTTACGATTTGATGTTGGAAAAATATTATCAAGACAAAAAAAGTGACAAATATAATAACAGTAAGTATTTTTTGTAATGTTATCTTAATGTAATGCAATTTTAAACATTTGATAATTGTGTATTAATGAGATTTATGCAAGTCCAATGTCGTATATGATAGCTTTTCACAAACTGAATATTTCTAAACCTATTTAAAAGTTACGTTGGAAAAAAAAGGTTTGGGTTGTATCTTTAAACATGCGCCTTCATTTGATTTTCCTGGCACAAATTATTTTACTAATTTTATACAAGTAGTAAAACATTATAAAATTTTACATAATTATAAACATGCTTCTCATGAATATAAATTTAGGCAATCATTGTTGGCAAGCCATTTTAAGTATTGCCATCATTATCATTACAGTCCATAACAAGAACGATATCCTGACTATTCATTAAGTCAATATTAAGTGAGGAATTTGGTGACATTTATTAAATTTAGAAAAAAAATGACTTTATACTTACTTTTTTTGGGAGAATACTAGCCTGAATTTGAACCTGAAACTGAACAAAAAAACCTGAAATTAAAACGCGGCAAAATAAATAAAATTTAGAACTTTGTAAATTTTTTTGCAATTGCTATAGACTATAGCTATAGCTACCATAGAATACTATAGTACACAATAGAATGACTGTCAACCTAATTTTGTACGAAAATCGATGTCGCCGGGAGTACACATACAAACAATTATATGGTATTATCACTACTACAAACCCGATTCGCTGCGTTGACAGACTGAGTGAATTTACACATTTTAGATTTTTGATTAATGTTTTTGACACAATATTTCTTTATTTTTATTTCTAATATTCACAAAATATGAATAGTTTCGACTTACTGGTTGTGGATATGTCTCCTTTATTTAAATTCCATTTCTCGCCCCTATCCATAATATCGTCCATAATAACCCCTTCCCAGGGGTTATTATGGATGATAATAACCCCTGGGAAGGGTGATCGCTACCAAGCTATTTCTAATTTGTTTTCTGTTGTTAATTTTAAACATGATTGTAAGCTATTATTTGAAAAAAAAAAAAGAAAATAGTCCCGCTGGGTTCCTTGCTGGTTCTTCCCAGGACAGAGGTTTTTTTGCGAACCGGTGGTAAATGAAAAAATTGACTTTCAATAAGTATTGTTTATAATCTACATTGATTAAAAAAGTTTCTGTTTCTGTTTCGATGTTCTTTCGACAAGTAATTATTTTACAATTAGCCATTTATTAAATAATTTACATGCAGCGACGCTTGACACGAAAATTGGAAACGATTGATTGTGTTGACATTTATAGATGTAAATTGACATGTTAGTGGCTACACGAGCTCCGCCCACTTCCCCGTTCTATTATGTATGTATTATAGTATTCTATGATAGCTACCGACCATTAATGAATAATAAATGAATTCATTTTTTCTCTCTTCGCAAATTATTTAAATCATGAAACAAAAAAGATGTGTGCGTGAGTCAAGAAATTGAGCGTAGTTTCGGCGTCACTTGAAATTTTGTAGTGTTGTGTTTAATATTACTTTATTGGTCTAAGACTAGGACTTAATTTTTGAGGGTGGATACTTATTTTTATTTACTTATTAATATTTTTTTCATTTATTAATTACCTTTTTATTACCTTTACAGAAAATCCTTATTTACTATGTTTTTCTATACCACGAAATTGGGAAAGCTTGACATCAATCAAACTGGAAGATCGTCGAGTTGAACGTCTCAAGGGATTACATGGAATACGGTAAATAAACATTTATTTTTAGTGAAAGCCTGTAAAACTACAGCATATAAATGTTACACTCACTGCTGGCAATATACAGTCATTCTTGAGAAGGTTTAAAGCAAAAAAGAGTCCACTTTGCCTTAATGATTGTCGACGTGCTTCACAATATATACCTATGAATTTTAGTTAGACAAAGTGAAACAAAACGCTTAAGTCTTTTAATATCCGCGACCTCTGTGTGATATGAGTAATTAATCTACAAAGATTAACGAAAAACTTTCCCCAAATCTTCACATTCCTTACTGAAGAGGTTGCCTGCTAAGTTTCATCAATATGAATTTCTAAATAACAAAAACTTAATTTTGACAAAAACATTTAAATCTAATACTTTTTTACCACATTTTTATTAAGTCACTTTCTTTTTTGTCTGACGTTCCGGGTGGAATTTAGTTATTTATTTTAAACTAACTTTCCGATGAGCTGGAAACTTGAAATTTTGAATACAGCTCAAATTCAGATGACAAGCAAGACTATGATAAAAACGAGAAAAATATTTAGCATTACCTGAGTTTTGATAAAATAGTTTTAAAAGAAAAATTTATATTTAATAGATGAAAAAAAAATGACAATTAAGTGGACAGTTTTAGAGATTTTATAGTATTATTTTATAATATTAAATCTGGTTGCGCGGAAAACCATTCGTATTTTATGTATATTTGACCGTAGGCTTGCCAAATCGTTTATCCCTTTCCAAACGATAACATTCATACCCTCCTATCGACACATCGGGGTGGTGGGGTGGGAGGGGAGAGAAGATGATTCTAGAATATCACGCGATCATCGCAACCGAAGGAATAAAAAGGCACGCGCGGCCGACGCGCAGTCTCTCTTCCCGTCGCGCTCGTGGTTGGAACCACACCGCTTAAGACAATAGTGTCATAGAAGGGCTATTGCCCACGCGCACTGCTAGTATAACCGCTTTAGCCTGGAAGCACTCGAGCTCCAGGAAACCCGCCTCACCTCGTGTGAGAAATAGTCGCGCACCGCACTCTCTCCCGACGCATCACCGGACAAGAAAGCATCTCTGGGGCCCCAGAGAGTCCATCAGAGGTCGCACCGCAGCAACATAGCGCCCAAGTCACATAGAAGCAACACCCCGGTGAGTGAGCATTCCTTACTAGTTCCTGCTTTATATAATTGTGTTTAATAGTTAATCCGCTCCAATTTCATTTTCTCCTAATCAAGCAGGATTCCTTTCATAGATTTTGGCAAGCAATAGTTCGTTTTAGGAAAGAGGGGGTTTGGCGAGTGCACTGTATGGGAAATTTGTATTATTCATTTAAATAGTGTTTGTATTTAGTTTAAATTTAAAGCTTATTAGTCGCTTAAGTAATTGAAACAGTGTAATCACACGCGTTTTGTACGCTTACCTGACATTTTGATAAAAAAAATATTGAGTTTAGCGAGCGACACGCGTCACCTCGGCTCGTTGTACAGGTGTTCAATTTAACGACGTAATACGGCACGCGTGTCCATCCTCCAGCGTTGTGCGATTAATTGTGATTAATCTAATATTAATTATAACAATTTAAAATGGCAGTTAGTGGAAATGAAATTAAAATTAAAACGCTTTATGCCAAGAGGGACATACTTTTTTCACGTATACAAAGTATTAGTGATCACATAAAGAACATTAATGTAGAAGCAGTGCGGGAAACTTTTTTAAATGAAATTGAAACGGTGGATTCTTTGCGGACGGATTACGAAAGGATATTAGACCAAATTAATAATTTGGAATTACAAGTTGACCCGAAATATACAGTGAAGTTTTATACGTGGTAGAGCCATGCTGCAGTTATATTAGTAGTATAGTTGTAGCACGAATGGGTCGGCTCGACCGGGGAAGGACCACGCTCTCACAGAATACCAGCGTGAAATAGTAGCTTAATGCTGCTGTATTTCGTATGGTGAGTGTAGAGAACCGGTGACCCTTTTTACTGGAAACGAGGCATTCCATCTTAGTCCTCACGGGTGACAACGCATCTGCATTTTGATTCGTAATCGAGGATAGATGTAGATGTCTATGGGCCACAGCAACCACTTACCATCAGGTGGACTGTGTGCTCGTTTGTCACCCTATCCTATAAAAGAAAAAAAGAAAAAGAGTGAACTACCAACCGCTTCTAGCATTTGAAGATATGTTGTGTGGCGTGAAAAGAACGGCGAAGCTCTTGCAGTCCCCATCTCAAAACGAAGCAAAGCCGGAAGCCTAGGTACGCCCACGTAATTCGATTAGGTTGCCGCCAATAGATATTCCGATACTCAATGGCGATATTAAGACATGGCCCTTCTTCTTCAGTAGTTTTCAAAACAATATACATAACAACCCATCGTTATCGGACGCTGAAAAATTATATTATTTAATTAGTAAACTTAGTGGCAGGGCACAGTCAATTTGCTCGGGTTTTACACCTACAGCAAACAGTTATTTGTTAACATTCGAAATGCTTAAAACTAAATATGAAGATAGGACAATGTTAGCTTCCGAATATTTGAACCAGATATTCGATCTTAAACCTATATTATCCGCGAACATCAACGGCTTAGAGCAGTTTTTAGATAAATGGCGGTGGCTGCACTTAAGAACTTGAAATTTAATGACCTTATGGACGTGGTGTTTCTCCATATTGCACTAAAGAAATTAGACCCTGATACCGTGCGTGCGTTTGAAATGGAGCATCGTAGCTCGGAGATGCCTTCCTTTCATTCATTAGCATCGTTTGTGCGAGATCAAATTAAGGTGATGCAGCGCTCCTCGAACGTTAAACAAGAAATTAAAAAATGCGTCGACCCAGTCATACGAACCGTAGTCGCACCACTTCGCATGTTGTGCGACATACTTTCGTAAACATTCACCAAGCGAACGTTCTAGAATAGTAAGGACGAATAACTAATGTCTGAATTGTTTAAGCGATAAGCATTTAGTTGCAAAATGCAATTCTAGTTCCGCGTGTAACAAGTGCGCCAGAAAACATCACACGTTGCTACATTTCGAAAATAGCAACATATTTGCGTCAAGTAAAGCGGACAAAGAATTCACCCCTAATAAAGTCAACAATTCTAGCGGTCTACCTGGTGATGTCGCTCTGTGCTCATTGGCAAATATGGGAGCACAAACTTCTTCAACCGTGTTACTGGGTACGGCACGTATTTTGGTTAGGGATTCGCGTGGAAACGAACAAGGCGTCCGTGCACTGCTGGACAGCGGAGCCCAAAATAGCTTTATAACGCGACAATGTTGTCAGCGCTTAGGCTTAGTAATAAATAGGTCACTTTCATGTCCCGTAGTTAAAGGCATCGGAGGTACTAGTAAAGTTACCCAGGGATATATAAATTTAAAATTTTATTCTCGGATAGATCGTAATGTTAACTTTGATATAAATGCACTAGTACTAGATAAAGTCACTGAACGGCTGCCAACCGTTTCGGTTGACACCTCGGCAATGATTGAATTTAAAAATTTGACTCTAGCAGACGACACTTACGCCGTTCCCGGAAACATAGACATGCTCATTGGAGCATCGCTTTTCCCTCATCTTTTGTTAAACAATAAGGTCAGGGGCAACTCCTCGCATACCGCGCCTTACGCATTGGAAACCGTCTTGGGCTATGTCATCGTTGGCTTCGCCCCCATCATGGATAGTATTTCGGCAACCTCTTATTGTGGTATGGCTGTCGAACCGCTCGAGTAGTTAGTCCACAAATTTTGGGAGATGGAGGAGGTGAACGTTCCACCTATAGTTAGCCCAGATGATAGAGTGTGCGAGGAAATTTACGTCCGCACGACCGTTCGTGATCGCGACGGTCGATATAGTGTAGCGCTACCCTTTAAAGGAGATGTTTTATCTCTCGGCGATTCGCGTCAAATGGCGGAAAAACGTTTCTACAACTTGGAGCGTAGGATGCTCGCTTCACCCCAGTTAAAGGAAGCTTATGACGGCGTCATTAACGAATATATAAGGGGAGGTTACATATCACTTGTGGATTCGAAATTAGATAACTACGAAGACACACCATCGTATTTCATACCACATCACGGGGTCATTAGGGAGGACAAACTTTCATCTTAGTTACGTGTAGTGCTCGACGCTAGTGCTAAAACTAGCACTCACCTGTCGCTTAACGATATCCTCTATAGTGGGCAAAATTTACAGGGCAGTTTGTTTAATATAATAGCCAATTTTCGTTTGTTTAGTATAGCACTATCCGCCGATATTCGCCAAATGTTTCTTTGCATAGGGGTCCGTGAATGCCACCGTAGATTCCAATGCATTTTATATCGTTTCAATCCAAAGGAACCTCTACTGGTGTTTGAATTTAACCGCGTTTGCTTTGGTTTAAAGTCGAGCCCATTTCATGCGTTACGCACGGTGAGACAGCTCGCCAACGATGAAGGTCCCTCTTATCCTAAAGCTAAGAGGGCAATTGAAAGTGGATTATATATGGATGATTTTGTGTACTCGGTCGATAGCGTGGAGGAGGCCACCCTAACCACCGCCGAGGTTATAAGGCTCATGAAATCGGGTCAATTCGATCTTGTCAATTGGACTAGTAATTCGCGTCCGGTTTTAGGCACAATCCCACTATCACACCGTCTTTCGGCGATAAAGGAATTCGACGATTCTGATACACACAAGGTGCTCGGACTGTGTTGGTCACCAGAGTCCGACGTGTTTAGCCTTAAGGTAAACCCGTCCGTAGAGAAGTGCACAAAGTGCACAATACTGTCATGCGTTGCTAGATTATGGGATGTCATGGGTTTCGTAGCTCAGGTGGTATTATACGCTAAGCTTTTGATTAAACAATTTTGGTTATTTGAATGCGATTGGGATGACTCGCCGCCTGACAGCATCGTTCGGTTGTGGCAGCGTTTTAGTGAGGAACTTCCTTTATTAAGAGAAATTAAAATATCACGTCATATAAACGTTGATAGAAATAGCGTCATCACGGTCGTTGGG